ACTGAAATTTTGTTTTAATGAAAGAACAAAATTCCAAGGAAGGTGGGATTTCAATATTCCAAACATCAAAACAAATCTTAATAGTCATATTACAAAAGTTAAGTGTAATTTATTTTTAAATTAACTAACAAATCCGCGATTATATTTGCTTCTCGATACACATGTTCAAAATGAAACTGCTCCATTTGAAAATGGATTACAAAACTCATGATCAAGAGAAGGCCAGTGAATAAGCTCCACGTATCAAGTGAGACCCTATCCTCCAGTTTTGTTTTCAATCGTGGAACTCATTATTATAAATTATAATTATGCTTCAATTCATGAGACACGCCATATGGAGAAATTTTTAAATGTTCCAGGTACACCACGTGTCTGGTGTACCATCCAATAAACATAGAACATGTGGAATTATTATCCAACTTACTACATTTCTTCTTATGACATGTGGCGGACTGCATCGGAAATATTCCATATGTTACCACAACCCCCCACTAATGCCTTCCGGTTCTACGACCTTTCGTTGATTCTCAGCCAACCCTTGCAATTTGCAAATAAAAGATTAGCCTTAACAAAGTAGCATCAGTTGAGCGAGACAGCCAGAATTACAGATTTGATATATACATACATAGTTATTAGTTGGATCATCATCAACACCAAAGTCAAACGCAGAAATTATGAAGAGCCACCAAAGTTATTGGAACACACAGTTCACAGTTGATAATTACACAACAAATATGCTCCAATTTTATAACATATTCGATTATGCATTCGTCATACATACACAGCTAATTCACAGCCATATGTGTTACTTCGATCCCACGGTTCAATGTCATATGGAAATTGTCATAAGTTCACAAATAAGGAAAAAGAGGGAAACCCAGGAATGATTAAATCTCTGACTATGAGCAAATGTGTGTTTTGTGTTTATAATGAATGGTCCCGAGTTCTGTTTATGTTCGGTTCTCATTAGGTGAAAAAATTGCATGTAACGGAGTGATAGGACAACAGTTGTATATGCATCGCTCATCGTGACACAAGTTTAGTATATATGTAAGTTTTTCTCCCTTGTTAGAGTGTTTTGAATGTTTGCACCATCAATTAGGGTATATTTCATATGTGACATGTCCAGCTAGCTATTTATGTGGCAAGCAATGATGGGTTTGGCTTTCTATATTCTCAAAGCAAATATTGACTGGTTTTCATCCATATATGTGTATGAAAAAATAAAAAACTATACACGCAACTTATCATCGCAAAGGTTCTTGAGATAATTTTTCTAAAGCTAGATTCTGCATGAAATTGTAGGCAAAGGTATTGTAATTTGGACATGTCTTTGAAAGATAACGAGAATCCGATTTTCTGGAAAAAATGTGATGGTCCTTAAAGGCTATAAAGCTACAAAGGTAGGAAACTATAAGTGATCCTTTTAGTGGGAACCATCTGAACCGCAAAAACCCATCACATGCTATTGGAAGGGATGACGAAGTTATGGCCAATCCTCAATTGGGTTGCAAAAAGATTTTGGTCCTAAGTATGTCAACCATATATATAAATTATTTCAAAAAGTTTATGGTCCTTTTTATTTTCTTTTTTGCACAAAATAGACAGCAATATGCATGACTTTTATCATGAGGTTGTTTTTTTTTTTTTGGGTCTGAGAATGGCTGGCTTTAATTTTAAGAGTAGCACTGTGCAACCCATAAAAAAGAAAGCCAACGAAACATAGCACAGGAAAAGGAGCCACAGCAAATAAAAGGATTCTGATGTGACAACAATTCAAGTAATTTCCTTGGTGTTTATATTATCGATATACAAAAAGTGTTCCATTCTTAACAAGCACAGCAGGTCACAGTTAGCAAAACTTGTTCATTTCAGACTTTGAACTGCTAGCATGGCTTGAGTTTCCTCATTCCACACGTGAAAGATCCCCACCTTCAGCCTTTGTCCTGCAAACAACATAACATCAGTTATTTTCTCCACTGGCAAATAGCCTCGAATTCATTCGACAAGACATGAAATTCTACAGAGTTTTACTGATAAACCCACAAGGAGTAACCCAACCCACATTTCTTTGAAAAAGACCAATTTTTCCATTCCACTAGGATAATGGAAGCTTACTTGTGATCAGAAGGACTTGCCTGTGAGTTCATAAACAATTGTTGCCACAACATCCCTCTTCAACTGTTCATCATAGAAAAAAAAAAAAGTGTTATTTTGCACAACTAACTTGACAAATCTTCTAATATGGAATGGAATTACCACCAAAACTATCAGGAAAATGCAATGTGATGCTGGCCATGTTTTGAAACTTGGAATACCTAATTATATATATGGAGAAATGCAATATCAGAGGGATAGCAGATGGTTAAATAAAAACAACAAAAGAACTCATTTCAGTGGCAATTCAAAGTGATTACCTTCACTGTTCAATTTGAAAAAGAATAAGGTTTCCTTCATTGTGCTCAATTTTTATAGTTGTCATGTTCTAGAAAATTAAACAACATGGTTTTTGAAGCAGTACAAAAGGGTTTAGGGCTGTAATAAATACCTTGTCTGGTACTCCAACACTCCTTGAAAATTTTCGACCAAATGCCACTCCTTAAAACAACAAGAAGACGTGTTTCAAGGCTGAAACGTTGAATTTTTCAAGTAACTCTGGGACAAGCTAATATGAAAGCAATACCTGAATGGCTTGCATTCCTTGAACATCTGAAAAGTCAATGCCATCTCGAACTACACCAATATAAGAAATCCAGGCCTTAGGTAGAAAATATTGAAGTTCGAACCTACGCCCTCACCTTGGAAGGACTAGTTCCATCAGCACAACCAGTAATTGAAATGCTCTTGATCTTGACATCTGATGTAAATCTATCAGAAATAAATGAACAAAATATAACTCAATCAAAATGTAAAGTAACGACATCATAGATAACTTTCCCACATCGACAAAACACAAGAGAAGGGGACTCTCCCTTCCCTATAAAAGGAGACCTCTCCCCTTCAAGAAAGGGGGAGGGTGAGGCAGGCTACTTGGGCCTCATGGGCTTACCCATGAGCCCATTTACAAGCCCACGGAACATTGGCCTTCAGCCAGATCTTCAGCCTCCGACCTTCAGCCTTCGGTCTTCGGTCTTCAGCCTTCGGCCTTCGGTATTCTTCCTCTTCTCCTTGAGTTTAAACCTATGTGCAATGTATACTCACATTATCGTAATGAGAACATACTACTCCGTGGACGTAGCCCATTATTCGGGTGAACCACGTACATTTGTCTTCTGTATGCATGCCTATTTATTTACCGAATGCTCCTACATACTAAGGGTCCTCACCTTCAACATCCACCTCATCCTTAAGTTGGCCTAAATACTACATGTCTAGTTTTAGCGCCAACACTCTTTTTTCCCATCTTATGGATCCAAAAGCTGCATTTCACTCAAATTACATTACTGAGAATTGACAAAAATGAAATTTAAAAAGAAAAAATGGAATGGGAACTTTCAAAAGAACAGATGACTCAACAATTGGAGCCCCAGAAAGAAGGATACTCCTTTTGGGTTAGTTAACCAGACCACTCAATTTGTAACTAATTAATCAATACAACAAAAGAAACGGGCTAAACCCAAAATATCCCAAATTATAGCCCCAAACCTCTCCCAACCCAAGAAAATGAAGAGGCCAAAATTTGGGAAAACCCAAACTTGGATCCAAATACCAGTCCAACTATTGCCTAGACCCAAACTATTCAGTGAAGCCCACCTACAGCTGGCATAGCCTATGTGTATCAGAAAAGAGATTGGGGCCCGCGCTGTTGGCTTTGTCTGCTGGCCTGACGTAGCAGATGCCACGTGTCAACTCCAGCTTAAGTGTCCGTTGCAATTCAAATTTCGTTTTTTTTATAAAAAAATTATAATAGTAACTTTAAATCAACGACATAGATTAAATCTAAGCTATTTTAACGGTAAAAAAGAGACGAAATTCAGGTGAAACATGGACTTATTCAATAGAAAGAGCCCAATATTTGTCACAAAGCTCCAATTTTAACAACTTGACAACTTGTTCAGAGCTATTGACAATTTGAGAAATTTCAAACGAATGCACTCTAAGTCACAGCATAAAGAATGCACAGAAAAAAAGAGAGTGAATTGTTGGGAAGAGCTAACCTTTACATTGATAAACTGTGAGAAAGAGTGAGTTGCTAGCTTGACGTATTTGTAGATATGCCAGACCCGCCCAAGAAAAAAAAACTTTAAAAAAAAAAAAAAAACAAAACAAAACCGACCTGCCCAAACCAGCCTAGGCCCATTTTCGAACTTTGATTGTTGGTCATTAAAGCGCAGTCGTTTTGGACTTAACTCTGACTGCATGTGGTTCGTTGCTTTTTCTCAAGTGGGACGCAGTTGGGTTTCATGGGCTTCAACCAACTCCATACATTTGTGAATTAGTTGCAACCTTCCGGTGGGCTGAAGTATTTTGAGGGCCTTATGTATAGTCTTTAGGTGATGTCCAATCTCTTAACTGTTAAATCAGACTAACCAATTTGATCAAATAGTTAAGAGATAGGGTCTTACTTAAGAGCCATATATAAGGTCCTCACTATAGAATTCTTAATCCAACATAACATATCAAATCCAAAATTTCAAAATAAAAGAAACATCTACAAGTACTTGACGACCCAAACTCATAAACCCATTGTAGGAAAGGAAAGGTAGAGTCATTCTATAGTGAGGGTCTTATATATATAGTCCTTAGGTGAAGTCATATTTCTTAACCGTTGGATCAGGCTAACCAATTTGATCCAACGGTTAAGAGATATTGTTTCGCCTAAGGGCCATATATAAGGCCCTCACTATAGAATTCTTAAGGAAAGGCAATGACAAGAAGGTAAGCCCAAGCAAACAACGTTACGCATTGGGCTCTTTGTATTACCAAACCTTCAGACCTATGCCCACAAGCCCACACCATCCAACATCAACATAATTTACAAATATACCCTAAAACCCCCAAAACCCTAAGACCTAGAACCTTCTATCGTCTACTAGAACTTGATCGCCAAGTAGTTCCCATCCTCCCCAAACCCACATCTTTTAAAAGAAAGATCAGCAATCGCCCTCTTCCCCAAAGAAAAACTCAAATCCAATCTGAGCCAACAACAGTAGCAGTCTCAGAAACAGAGGCACAAATGGCTAGGCGTTTGATCCCAACCCTCAACCGTGTCCTGATTGAGAAAATCATCCCGCCATCTAAAACCACCGCCGGCATTCTCCTCCCCGAGTCATCCACCAAGGTAAATACTACCATTTTCTTCTTAAAATGTGTCTCTGAGTAAATTGTCAATGATTGATGACTTTGTGTGGATTTTAATTTTTATGGGTGTGTGCAGCTAAACTCAGGGAAGGTGGTTGCTGTGGGACCAGGAGCCAAGGATAAGGCTGGGAATGTGATTCCAGTGGCTGTGAAAGAAGGTGATACAGTTCTTTTGCCTGAGTATGGGGGCACCCAAGTCAAGCTTGGTGACAAGGAGTAAGTCTTTTTGTTCTATATTTGCTCTGTTTTGCCATTGTATGTTTTAGGGGTCTCTTCCATTTATGACTTTTGGTTTGGGTTTTTGGTGGGTTGGTGTTGTGCAGGCTCCATTTATACAGGGATGAGGACATCTTGGGCACTCTCCATGAATGAGTCATTGGATTGGGTAGTATGTTTTTTTTAAGGGATATTGCTATTCAATTTGAGGGTCAGATGTAACTGATTAATTAGCGGATTGGAATTTCTCTTGGATGTTAGTTTTCTTTGAAATGAACTAATGGAAGCCCCTATCAATCTATTTATTTCCATCTTCTGTTAGGTTTGGATTTTTGCACTGGAAATTATGGGCCAAATTAAGAAATAATTTTGTATTTTATTTGTTGCATATCTCCTCCCCGAGTCATCCACCAAGGTAAATACTACCATTTTCTTCTTAAAATGTGTCTCTGAGTAAATTGTCAATGATTGATGACTTTGTGTGGATTTTAATTTTTATGGGTGTGTGCAGCTAAACTCAGGGAAGGTGGTTGCTGTGGGACCAGGAGCCAAGGATAAGGCTGGGAATGTGATTCCAGTGGCTGTGAAAGAAGGTGATACAGTTCTTTTGCCTGAGTATGGGGGCACCCAAGTCAAGCTTGGTGACAAGGAGTAAGTCTTTTTGTTCTATATTTGCTCTGTTTTGCCATTGTATGTTTTAGGGGTCTCTTCCATTTATGACTTTTGGTTTGGGTTTTTGGTGGGTTGGTGTTGTGCGGGCTCCATTTATACAGGGATGAGGACATCTTGGGCACTCTCCATGAATGAGTCATTGGATTGGGTAGTATGTTTTTTTTTAAAGGATATTGCTATTCAATTTGAGGGTCAGATGTAACTGATTAATTAGCGGATTGGAATTTATCATGGGTGTTAGTTTTCTTTGAAATGAACTAATGGAAGCCCCTATCAATCTATTTATTTCTATCTTCTGTTAGGTTTGGATTTTTGCACTGGAAATTATGGGCCAAATTTAGAAATAATTTTGTATCTTATTTGTTGCATACTAGTCTGTGAATTTGTCAATTGTGCTAAACTCAAGGGATTCACCCAACTCATGCCACAATTATAACCAAAATGTGATTTATAAAGTAGCTTAGATTGTGATTGGATTTTGAAACTTCTTCTTGCTTTCATGTCCTTGACCTCTTTCTTTTATATAATGTGATTTGATTTCCGCAATTGTTTCAAATGTGTTGCGTTTTCAGTCAAATGATTTACTAGGAAATCTGCGTGCTGATAATTGATGCATATTAATTCTCCTAATTCTGCGTACGTACTGTGTTTACCTGGTCTATTCTGTTTACTCTGTTTCCATCCGCATCATGGTGACCCTATGTATGTACAAATAAGATTCTGCATCTATGTCTTGCATGCATGAGGAGTGTTGATTTTCAATGTGCAAGCAAACACTATAATTTTCTTATTACGTTGTGATCTGAACTGGATTACATAATTCCTTGCCCTTTCCTTTTATTTTCACGGAAATGTTATTATGAGGGGGGTTATTGGTGAGGGGTTCAATTTGGGGTCCATCCCACCATCCAACATGAGAGAGTGTTGGAGTCAAACTTTTTAAATGAAATGAATGGTGGGATGGATGGAACCCCATATTGAACCCCCTCACCAAATCCCCTTATTATAGAAGCGCCCTTGATTTCATATTCTTATTTACCCTCCTTTATGTTCTGGATTGGATTTGCAATCTAAAAATCAAATGGGCCTTTGAATTTGCTTTGGCATGTGTGTTAAAATCGCATGTTATGGCCCACTGAAATGTTCTCAATGCTTCTGTTTAGTGAGCCCAATTCAGAGAGAGAGAGAGAGCAGTAGCTTTCTTTCAATATCAATTCTGACTTGCTGATTTATGGTAGCCTTGTCTTGTGGGATTTCTGTACTTGTATTCTGATTCTCATAGCACCGTTTTCTCCTTTAGTTTCTCTCAAGCCTCCTCATCCATGAAAATTAGTTCTCGTCTTTTTCTAGTTCCTTATCTAACAAGGTTAATTAGTGATGGCTCTTACCTCGAAGTTCCAACTGCTACTCTATTAGGAGTTGATTAAAACGTTTAAAATGTCTTTTATGCAAGTGGAAAATGCGTTTGCGAGGGGTTTTAGTCTTTAAGATATATTTCAATTATCATTTCCAAGTTGAACTGAAAATCGTTGTAGTTTGTCTTATAATGTTCCATCCTTTTCACCCCTCTTATTTGTATCTCCATCACTCATTTGAATGAAAAATATCAGCAAATTTGGTTAGACCAGTTGGCTAGGACATTGAGTTTGTGCTCTTGAATCCAAGTTCAAGTTCCCCTTCTCGTAAACTAGATTGAGAATTTAGATTATTACTTGTATAAAAACAAAATTACAAAAGAAATGCCCGCAAAAAATATCAAACGTTTCCTGCACTTGTCACTTTCCAATTTCCATCTGTAAACGTGAATGTTGAACACCACAAGCCAGACAGAAGCTTGAATGTTAGAAATTAAAAGCTGGCAATGAAGGGGATTTAGGGAGGGGAGGGGGTCATGAGTTGGATCCCAATATATAAGGACGAGTACAACAGGTAAGTAGCTAACTCATCCATCCATTTCTAGAGATCTCGTTTGTTGGTTGGGAAGCCCCAACTCCATTATATTTTGGAAAATCTTTTTTCTTGACAGGATCCCTTAAATTTTGCCTATGGCCATTTGTTATTAAACTATGATAATGGTACTACTAAGAGTGAATGGGTAATATCATATCCGAATAAAAAATGACAATAGCACCTCATTATGCCACGTGCCCCTCCCCAACCAAAGGTAGATCTTATTTTAACATAAAATAATTAGAGAAAAATAATAGGACAACGCTTCTACAGCACACAATTACTTGTACCGGGAGGCACGATATCTCTTTTTATGTTTACTATTTTGCAGTTTCCCCCTTAAAGAATCGAATAAACTTTTTTTTTAATACAAAGTAATTTGCTATTGTAAAGTTATCCATGGTTAATAAAATAATAAAACAATGAAAAATAGAAATAATTTTTATTTCATAATTCTCTAAATGGAGTATTTTTGCTCACTACTTTAACCAAGGTGTATCATTACCATTCTTCTTAACACTTGATACGCGTCTATTGATATAAATAAATACAATGATAATAAATGTTCACCGTATCCGATAAAGAATGTTGATATTTCACATTAGGATATATTCCTCTAATCTAATGTGTTTACCCAAAAAGCAGAAACATATAGCATGGATGGATATTTACATTTGTGATATTCAGAGAAACGTATCTCTAAAGAATCTCTAGACCATTCCACATATATAAGTAATTTGTGGTGCAGTCTTTTTGCCATTTTCCTGATAATCATCAGCCGAATTTCCCATTTTGATAAGTGGGTCACGTGAAATGGTCTCTTTTTTTTTCTGCCTCCCACCATCTTTCACCAAAAACCATCATGTCAACGCATTCAACATTGATTAGCATAATCTTCTCATTGCATTTATTTATGCTAAATATATTTGACAACACTTGACATAGTTTTGAAAAATAAAAAATAAAAATCAATTGGCTTTGGTCTTCTAGGCATTATTTTTGCAAACAAGTCATCCCCATTTCAAAGCCAAAAAAAAAAGAAAAAAAAAGGAAGCCCTTGTCATCCCTGAGAAGAGAAGCACGTGCACGCCCAACTCATTCTTGTTCGAATCAATTTCAATTCAATACAAACACTTCTTCTTTTCTTTGTCCACCTTTTCTCTCCCCCAACATTTTCTCAGAAGAGACCCAATTCACAAGAAACACAAACACACACAGAGAAAAGAAAAGAAAAGAAAAAAAAGACAGAGAGAGAAGGCCACATGACGTAGTACATAGAGAGAGGGAGAGAGAGAGAGAGCGCAGCACAAATCCCAATGCACCCATACAATCGGCTACCGAGTAGCGGACACAACAGCCCATCGCCGCCGCCTTCGCCGCTCCGCTCGCCCCGGTTCAGACACAGCCGGTCCAAAGCAGGTGGCCGGTTCAACCAGCCGGGTCGGACCCTAATCCAGCGCATCGTCTGGCACCTTCTCTCCGTTCTCATCCGCCGCCAGGGGTTCTTTCTCTTCGCCCCTCTCCTCTACATCTCCGGCATGCTCCTCTACATGGGCTCCGTTTCCTTCGAGGTCGTTCCCGTCATTTCACATCGTCCTGCTCCCGGCTCCGTTTACCGCAGTCCCCAACTCTACGCCAAGCTCCGACCGGAAATGGATGCCGATAACTCCTCCGCCGATGCGGTGCGTTTCGTCCCGTCATTACTTCCCTTTTGTTGCCCGATTTACTGTTTGAGATCTTTTCCAATAATTGTTTTCCAGCATTACATGATTTCTGAATTTCAATCAATCTGTTTTTTTGTTTTTTGTTTTGTTTTTCGTTTTGTTTTTCATTTGACATAATTTCAGGACGAAAATCAATCATGGCAAAGTTATTCTGATTTAGACTACATAGGATTGCTTGGCGTTCCTACCTTGTTTAGTAATTAGTACTATATCGGCCATCCTCCTGCTTATGCTTTAACCTGGAGATTTGAAATCTTTGCGTAAACGACTATGAATGTGAACAATCAATCTTCTAATTTTCAGATAATCAACCTATTGTCTTTTAATCAATCCTATCATTATTACTTGGACATACTCATTTTCTTTCTTTGTGCCGAAATTTGACTTATTGCTATTTATACAACAAATAAGTAATTCATCATTGAGATAAAATGACAGTTAAAAAGATTTTTTTTTAAAAAAAACTGTGGGATACTGAGCTATTACATGGTAAGCATTGCATACAAGTGGGATTTGAAAAAATTGTTTCTTATTTTTCTTTTTGAATCTTCCGTTGTTTCTCTCCCTAGTTAGGCTACTCTTAGAGATCTTGGAATTTCTCGATGTAGTTATGGCTTAGAATTATCTGCCCCTCCTATGCATCCTATCCAACTTGCTGACAATCTATCAAATTCTATGCAGATCTCAACTGTATGGAAACATTCCTATAAAGGTGCTGAGTGGAGACCGTGTGTAAACAAGTCCTCTGGAGGTACGAGTTACCTCAACTAGTTCTTGCAGTTTTATATGATAATGGCTGCTGGTATACCTTTTTTTTCCTACGCTGGAAACTGCTTTCTTAATTCATACTCCCCCTTCCCTTTTGATATTTCCATACTGTAACATAATATCATTTCATTTACTTTTTAGATAGGCACATTTATATGTTGGTTTCCATCTTCATATGAGTTCCGAACTTGATCATTTGGTTGCTTTTTCGTAGGTTTAGCAGAGTCAAATGGTTATATATACATTGAGGCAAATGGTGGTTTAAATCAGCAGAGGACTTCAGTGAGTTTAATTCCTCGTTTGGTTGCGTATTTCTTTTCTTGTTTGTGTTTGTGCTTCTGTTCTGAATATTATTATTTGTAACAACTTTCTTGACTCCTTGATACATGGTTGTTGTTGATTCTTTCTAGATATGCAATGCAGTTGCTGTTGCAGGATATCTTAATGCAACACTTGTAATTCCCAATTTTCATTATCATAGCATCTGGAGAGATCCAAGGTTTGTCAACACTTATCATTTTGATGTTGTGTTTGTAGGATCAGGGTGCCTAACAATGAATATCCATATCTATGAACCCTCCCAGGGTATTGAAATTTGCAACTAAAATATGAGGTACATAATAGCAAACAAATCTGAGGTACATAGAAAACAGTATGTGAATTTTGGCAGTGTCGTCTATGCATCTTGACTTATCTGAAGATTTGACTTGACTCAGTCAACCCTTAAACTCAAAAAGAAGAAAGCAGACAAATGGATAAAAGTGTAAAGATACATTATAAGATAGAAGGAATAAAGTGACATAAGGTGCTAATACAGCATTTTATTTTCTTTTGGGTTGGCATGAACGCTGCCTCACATATATTCTGTTTGTATGGTTGTACCTTGCTTAAAACCTCGTAGCTTTATCAGGAGTTTTCTGTTGAACTGATACGAATATTATATTCACGATTTCATTCTCACATAAACTGGACTCTGATTTTCTTCTTCTTTTCTTTTCAGTAAATTCAGAGACATCTATGATGAAGATTATTTCATCAGTATGTTGGAAAATGATGTACGCGTAGTTAACAAGGTTCCTGAATATTTAATGGAACGATTTGACCACAATTTGAGCAACGTATACAACTTCAGAATAAAAGCATGGTCTCCCATTCTGTATTATAAGGATGCAGTTCTCCCAAGGTTACTTGAAGAAAAGTGAGTGAGAAAATTTAACTTCAGTTGGTCCTTTTATTTATTTATTTAAAGTTGCTTTCATTATGTTGTCGTGGTACATGTTGTGCTAAACAGTGAAACTTTGCTTCTATATGAGGTATGGTTTAATAGTTTCTATTGCACAAATGGTGTATTAGTCAAAAAAAGGGGGGAGAGGGGGGAGGGAGAATATGGAGGAAAAAATATAGGGTCTGTAAAATCTGTTGTGTTGCTCATCCTAGTCATTTAATCTGTTAAAGAGTTGCCTTAGGTATCGACACTACTTGTGTGCAAGTAGAGGTTGTAAATTTTGACCTCAACCTACCGACCCACCTGAATCTGATGAATTTGGGATTGATACTTCTTGGCTGTTTTCTATCCAATCCAAATTCTGCTTGGTAGATGAGTTTGATTAAACTTGTCAATGTGACCTCATTACTGTTCATCGATTATTGATTAATTCTTTATATTGTTTTATAACTATTTAAAATGAGATCCAGTAACTATATGTTCTGTTTTATTCGGTAATAAAATTTGAATAAGCATTGCTAAAAATAGTGTTAAATACTTAAAAAAATTATGGTATATGGAACTGAACTAATATGGACTGTTATACAGCTTTCGCAAGAATTGAACTTTGTTATTGTTGTATCCAGTGCAGATTCTGGAGATACTTATTGTTGCATCAATTTTGTGAAAATGGGTGTGGCATGATTCATGCAATTCTTGTACAAAATGATGCTTAATGTTGGTTATATTTATGGACAAAACAGGGTTATAAGGATTTCTCCTTTTGCAAATCGATTGTCATTTGATTCTCCTCCCGCTGTTCAACGGCTAAGATGCTTGGCAAATTATGAAGCTTTAAGGTTTTCAAGTCCTATATTAACTTTGGGAGAAACTTTGGTTGCAAGAATGAAAGAACGCAGTGCAAATTATGGTGGCAAATATATTTCGGTGCATCTTCGGTTTGAGGAGGTTTGTCTTGATCAGCTGTTGGTGTAGTATAATTAACTTCTATTTAACCTCCATGAAGAAAATATCATCTTCCTTTGACAAGTGGAATTTACTGATCTCCCAAGTGTAGGACATGGTTGCGTTCTCTTGCTGTGTTTTTGATGGTGGAGAGCAAGAAAATGAAGACATGAAAGCAGCAAGGGAAAGAGGTTGGAGAGGGAAATTTAGCAAACCTGGTAGGGTTATACGTCCTGGAGCAATCAGGATTAATGGAAAATGTCCTCTCACTCCTTTAGAGGTATATCTTTTGCTTTTGTGTAGTTCCTTCCCGAGTATTTAATTACGTAGTGACTATTCATTCACAAACAATGAAAGAGCAGTAAGTTTTGCACGAATTCCAGTTAAGCTATTTTAGGTTTTGCATGAATTAAAGTTTAGCAGTATAAACTCCATATTGCTAGAAGTTTCATCAGGTAGCCAGCATCTTCATCTGTTTGTCATTTCATTTCCTGATAAAACAAATGATCATACCTTCAAAAGACAACTGGTCTAGCACAAATTATTTTTCTGTTTGAAAATATTTATTCCCAAGGATTCATAATATATAATTATATATATATATTAGTTGAATAGGTAAACTTATGGCCTCAGAACGGAGGGTTAACCCTCCCCTCCCTAGTCCTTTGCCTGTTGTGTCATTTCTGTGTTTGAACCCAGCATATGAGGCACTTGCATTGCAAGGCAGCCTATGCCACTATCCCATTGTGCCATCTGCCAGCTGGGGTCCTCTAAATTGCTGTTTTGCAACACTATTCTAACTGTGACCATTGTTTCTATCCTTATCTTCAATTGTTTCTTTCACTTTAAGAAAGACTTTATGAGTTTTTAAATTTCTTTAAATTTCTTTAAAATTCTAGAATATGAATATTTGATTATTTCTTTTTCTGTGTCATCTAATCAGGTTGGCTTGATGCTTAGGGGAATGGGATTTGATAAGAACACATTTATCTATTTGGCATCGGGAAAGATATACAATGCTGAGAAGACAATGGCCCCATTACTGGAAATGTTTCCTAATTTGCAGACAAAAGAGATGTTAGCATCAGATGAGGAGCTTGCTCCTTTCAAGGTCTTAATAGTCTTAGTTCTGTTTTTTTTCTTCAATCTTTGAGGTTTGGTATAATACCATTGCTCTGACTTGAGTTACTATTGCTAGAATTTTTCTTCCAGGATGGCTGCGACAGATTACACTGTTTGTCTTCACAGTGAGGTATTTGTGACAACTCAAGGAGGAAACTTTCCCCATTTTCTCATGGGACACAGAAGATACTTGTATGGTGGACACTCCAAGACTATCAGGCCCGACAAGCGGAAGTTAGCGTTACTCTTTGATAATCCCAAAATTGGGTAGGTATACATGATCTTTACGGCTAGTTTAGTCATTGAAAAATGCATTTTTACATGTATTGAAATGGCTGGAAGGAGGTTACATTTGATGATATTTGTGTCAGAACTAAATTACAGTCCTTTCTTTTATGGGTGTGTGGCTGGAATAGGCAGGAAATGAGCAACGCCTTTTATGGTTTTGGCTAGAGAAGAAGAACAGAAGAAAATACCATATTATGTATTGTCGTGTATTTGAGTTAATATGAACAAAAATGTCTGGGACACCAAACTACCCATTGTGATGCAAATTTCTTGAGCACTACCAAACTACCATAGCAGTAACATCTCTTGGTTTTGTTGTTTATTCCCAGATGGAAGACTTTCAAGCGTCAACTGCTGGGTATGAGGTCCCATGGTGATTCAAAGGGCTTTGAGCTGAAGAGACCAAATGACTCGATATATACCTTCCCATGCCCAGATTGCATGTGCCGCTCAAACAAGACAGAGGATTCAAGAGCATCGTCAGCTACGTGATTTTGAATGAAAACGTTGTGATGGGTGTTCCCCATACCCTTGATTTTGCGAGGAAACTTTACTGCTGACCCCCCTTTTGTGTTGCTATTCTTTCATTTTTTTTCTGCCCCTGTCCGGGTGTGGAGAGGGCATATACACCAATTTTGGGAGCTACAAGGAATTTGTTGGAGGTCACAGTTACCTAATTATTTTCCCGGGATTGGATCGTGACGAAGTTGCATAGTTTTTATATGATGCCAGAAGAGAAGACGGTGATACATCAATCCTTCCATCACAGGAGTTTCCCGGGCGTTGACTGAGGCATTGTTTCATATCTGCAGCTGCTGTATTTAACAAGCTGTGTACTGACAGATCGCATTCCTTCACAGCCTGCCTGCTTTTGCCATGTTTGTAGATTAGTTAGAGTTTGATCTGCAAGTGCAAATAGGATCAGGTTGAATTTTTTGTACATTTATCCAAAGGCCATGGTACTCAAATTTCATTTTTTCTTTTCTGGGTTCTTTCCGGTTTCATTTATCTTTTCGTGCTCTTTATCCCCACCTTACAAAGAGGTTACCTTAGTTACTGAAGCTCACAGGATATCTTTAATACTCCATCAATATATTCATTAATTTTTGTGATTTAGCGGGGGCATGAATGTAATTATAGTTTGGCTGCAACGTTTTTGAAATTATAATTTGTGGTGTTTCGTCTCAGTGGGCGTGGGCGTGGCCAGAAAGCTTTTGCGTTGTTTTCTATCTTGGGCTTGGCTGTATTTATGTCCCGCCTTCGCCTTGTGTGTTAACATTCTGCGTGCGTTTTGGTTGTTCTAAGAGCAAGCCAAATGGAGGGCTTTATCCGCCGCAAGGCTGCAGATGGTAAAGGAACACCAATGATGATGAATAGTGGGCTCTAAATGGCTCAGCCCACCGGAGGGTTGCAATCACACCCATATATATAGGAACTCGGTCGAAGAAGCCACTGAAACCTGCAGGACCCACTCATTTTTGGACTATAGCCTATAAGCACGCGTGAACATAAAAAGCTGATCCTCAATCACGCAAGACTTGCGGCTGCTCCATTACTCGCTGAATAAAGGCTTTTTTTAATTTAAATTTATTGATTTGCAAATAACTGGCTGCTCCTAATCGTTTTTTTTTTCTTTGGGTCAACCACTTTTCTTTCTTTCCTTCTAATTTACCATTATTTTCATTTCACTCAAATTTAAACTCTCTTTTTTTTCCCCTATAAACACTTCTGCAAACAATATCTATAAATCAAAATGTAGTTTCATAATCTCGTCCAAATATTAAATTTTTTTAGTTGAAATGTTCTTAAGAAAAAAAATTTAACAAAATATAAATATACATGAACAATAAAAAAGTTAACCAAAAAAAAAGTAAGGACATAAATCAAATTTCATCATAAAAAAATTTAGAGCTCAAATATAGAACCTAACACCATGAATATTCCTTTTGAGCTCTAAAAGGGGCTCTATCCACTATATTTAGACCCCGATCATTGGGCTTTCCCTAGGGCCGAACGTGATTTGATCCAATTGTGCCTTTGGTTGAGATTTATTTGTTGTCCGTCTGTTCCAAAAATGGCTTAGGTCGACCTGATACACTACACAAATGATCATGTATGTATATGATAAGCACACTATAATTATAAACAATTGACTTAAATTATTATGATCATTTATATTTTTGAGGCTTCACGACCCAAAAAAGATTATTGATGGTTTTATTAGAGTTACTTTGAATAAATTCATTTTAATTTTTGTTTTTGAATACAAATGATAATTTAACTTATGAGGAGATTCAAACTGATGTATAAGAGAGCTCACTATCTTATTCAACTGCTTAATTCACGTCTGCAAACCAACAAAGATGTGATTCAAGTTAGTTTTATAATTGACCGAATAATCAAACAGGTTGCGTTGCCCTGTTATTAGAGTTTTTTTTTTTTTTTTTTTTTTTTTTTTTTTTTTTTTTTTTTTTTTTTTTTTTTTTTTTTTTTTTTTTTTTTTTTTTTTTTTTTTTTTTTTTTTTTTTTTTTTTTTTTTTTTTTTTTTTTTTTTTTTTTTTTTTTTTTTTTTTTTTTTTTTTTTTTTTTTTTTTTTTTTTTTTTTTTTTTTTTTTTTTTTTTTTTTTTTTTTTTTTTTTTTTTTTTTTTTTTTTTTTTTTTTTTTTTTTTTTTTTTTTTTTTTTTTTTTTTTTTTTTTTTTTTTTTTTTTTTTTTTTTTTTTTTTTTTTTTTTTTTTTTTTTTTTTTTTTTTTTTTTTTTTTTTTTTTTTTTTTTTTTTTTTTTTTTTTTTTTTTTTTTTTTTTTTTTTTTTTTTTTTTTTTTTTTTTTTTTTTTTTTTTTTTTTTTTTTTTTTTTTTTTTTTTTTTTTTTTTTTTTTTTTTTTTTTTTTTTTTTTTTTTTTTTTTTTTTTTTTTTTTTTTTTTCTAATTTTTATAAATAAAAAAAAATTAATAAAAGGAAAAAAGGAACTGAAACGTGGCATTGCACCCCGAGACCTTGTCAAATGTGAGTAAATTTGACAACCCCGCGAGAATATATGGATCCCGATCCTATTAATCTAACCTTTCAACGTTTCAATTCTAAAGAGAAGACAGAAACACCGCGGAGGAGAAACACACAAATTACCTCTTTTGCCTTTCATAATCAGAATCAGAAGCAGAAGCCATGGGCATCGTCGGAAATCTCAGTCCCGACCAACTCCACTCCTTCAACTCCCAAGGTAAACACAACCAACTAACTCCTCCTAAATGTCCTAAGAAAGCTTTGTTTTTGACTTTTTTTGACTTGGAAACATGTGTGTTGGGTTGCTAACTTGTTATATAATTTTATGATTGCAGGTTATTTTGTTATAGAATCGTTTGCCAGTGTGGAGGACATCGATGCCATGAGGAAGAGAATGGACCAATTGCTTCACGACTTCGACTGCTCCGCCACCGCCTCTATTTTCTCTACCAAGAATCAGGTGTCTTAATTTTTTTCCTTTTATTATGTAGTTATTTATGTTTATCTGTAATTAAACTCGTTTCTTTTTCATTTTCAATTGTATTTTGCAGCAACAGTCGACGGACAATTACTTCTATGAAAGCGCCGAGAAGATTTCGTTTTTCTTCGAAGGTATACGACTATATGTTTCAATTTTCAACAACCCTGAATCATTTACTTCTTCAATTCCTGTATTTATGTCTTTTTTTTTTTTTTGTTCTTTCCGGAAAAAAGAAAGAAGATGATTTGTACACTTTTGAACACTTCTGTACAAGTGGAATTTGGTTCCAAATAGTGAAATTGAACACTTTTGCAATTTGATTCATCCATAATCTCTAGTTTGTGTTGTGCTAAATTGTTGGCATTTCTTGATTTTGGCAGAGAAAGCTTTTGGGAATGATGGAGAGCTACAACAGCCAAAGGAACTTTCCATTAATAAAGTTGGCCATGGTAAGCTCTGAATACCTCTGGATTAATAAAATTTGAAAAAATGAAGTCTAGTTTTTTTCCATGCATTTGAAACTAAAACTAATTTTGTAAAGCACATGCTCTTTGGTGCAGCGTTACATGAGCTCGATCCAGTATTTAAAGGTTTCTCCTATTCTGAGAAAGTTTCAAGTTTGTTCTCCTCCTTGGGTTATAAAAGGCCCATCATCATTCAGTCTATGTACATATTTAAGGTATTACATCTTCTTGTGTTTAAGGCCTAGTGGTGTGACATAATTTCCTTGTGAGGCTCTAGTACCTATTAAATGCGAGACCTGAGGTCTATTTGGCTGAGGAAAGGATTGGTTTTTGACAATTGGGCTAATTGGCCGAAAGAACCCTAAAAATATTGGATTCAATGCATTTAAAATGACTAGATACAATTTAACATTGGAATGGAGACTATGTATAACATATGTACACACATGTATGTGAACATATGTGTTTAACAATTTACACATAGATATGCATGCACGCATTCAAAGGGGGAGGAAGGAGGTACAGACTTGATCGGCATACCTGCCCCACCCCTGTTAGAACAAGTTTTGTGTTCTTTTGTTAGGATGGGGTCTAGAATGGTTTCAGTTATGTCTACGGAACTGTGAAATTAGCAATGTTATGATTTAAAACAGTAAAATGTAGACGGCCCTGCTAAATCTTAGTTGTATAATTTCAAATTTCATGATTTGTTGTGGTACATTGTTTTGTATGTTCATGAGTTTGGCTATGTTAATATGTCAATATTGGTTGTTTTTCTTCAGATATGCAAATTATCCTGAGTTTATTTGCAAACTAATGCACAAGAATGTTATTGGCAGCAACCAGGTATTGGAGGTGAGGTAGTACCACATCAGGATAACTCATTTCTTTATACCGAACCACCAACTTGCACAGGGCTGTGGCTGGCTCTAGAAGATGCAACAATAACGAATGGCTGCCTATGGGCTATACCTGGTTCTCAAAAGAGTACCATTCTCCTCTCCCACCTCTTATTTCCTTTTCCGTTTCTTCCTTCCAATACATTTTTTGCCAATTTCAAGTTTTTGTGAGCTGGAAAGGCTTTGAAATTGTTTGGTGTATTAAAACTTTCTTGTAATTTGTTTTTTGTTGTTTTACAGATGGCCTTGTCAGACGGTTCATAAGAGGTGAAGGGGGCGTGACCTTTGATCGTCCTTCCCCTGAGTATGATCAAAAGGATTTTGTGCCTATTGAAGTGAAAGCTGGGTCTTTAGTTGTTATTCATGGTGATCTTATTCATCAAAGGTCAGTTCAATTAAACTCTTTCTGTTGACCTTCAAATATTTTGCCTTAGTTGGGTGGTCTGAAAATCCAATTTTTCCTTTTTTCCTGTCAAATGCTTGGACTACAGTTTTGAGAATCAGTCCTCAAAATCAAGGCATGCGTATAGCTTGCATGTGGTGGATACTGATGGCTGCAAATGGGCTCAAGATAATTGGTAATTACATCTTACATTGGAGGATTACTGAGCTTTACCTCTTGTTGTAGGAGTGACTTGTGCAGTCTACATTGAAAGGAAGAATAGTCTGATACTTAATACTTGTGGTTTTAAATAATTTTTCTTATTTGCTTGAGATCTAATACATTTAAACTGAATTATTCTAAAGAAAATGGTTTTGTCATGAACCAGGATCAGGCGAAAAGTGGAGCCAGAGCCTCTCTATGTATCTTCTTCGGAACTGAAATTCGATCTCTAGATCTGTTAGTGTATCTCAATTCTCAAGCAGACCCATCTTCTACTTTGGGAAAATTGAGGTATCCGCAGTGTGTATTACATCTACAAGGAATTCTAAAAACGAAAGTGGATAAAAGCTGAGCCATTTGTTATTTTGGATGAAAAAAGCTTGAGCCATTTGTCATTGTAACTTATAATCTTCTCTTAGTTGGTATTTATAGGCATTTACTGCGGTTTAGACTTGTTCTACCGGTGCATATTATTTGTATGAAAATTTAGTATCAAAACAGTACCTCCTAAAGTGAACAGATCTCTCTGATTAGAAAATGCAACTTCTGATTCTAATTTCGTATCCTTTTGGTTGTCCTCTTTAAATATTTATAATTTAAAGATTGATATTTTGAAGATCTCGTTAATGGTAGATTTAATTTAAGCTATCCAACTGCAGTCCAGATCCCAATTTTTTTTTTATTTAGTGAGGAAGAGTGGATCTATCATCACCAACTGAATATTCCTTTGAAAAGAAAAGATGGAAGACTAGTTATAACTCAAAACATTTCATTTTTTCTTTCAGAATCACTCATAAGCCTAAATTGGAGGCATCGAACTCATATCAAAGTATGTTCTTATGGTATCTCAATCAATTTACCCACAGAATACCCCAAGACCTCTTTTGTTTTTTATTTTTTCTTCTCTTCTTAAAGAAAATATTGTGCAAAAGTTGGTTAGGTCAGTTGGTCAAAGCAGTGAGGTCATCCTTTGTGCACCCAAGTTCGAATCCCTCTCCCCGTAAATTAGGTTAATTTAGAGTAATTTTAAGCTATTGCTTGTATTTGAAAAAATAGAGAAGGCATCGCAAATATGTTCATAAAGAAGCTACTAAATAATGGGTGCCAGTATCATATTTACAAGGCAAACTTGAGTGAACATAATGAACAGACGATTGACTACATCTTTAAGACGTTTTGAAAATTACCCCAATAGGGGTCGAGCCCATGCACGAAGCTGCTCTGACTTCTGAGACAACGCCCTCCCTCGTACAGTTGTACAGTTGTACCTTCCTAGTACCTTGTCCCTTCTACCATTTTAGTTACATAATAATCATGGTAACCCACCAATTGAGTCAAAAGAATGATGGATTGGATTGAAATTTGGATGCAGTAGTAGCTCTATTTGGCTGATTAACTACTACTCCAGAAGCTTATTGCAGGTGCTAACGCCAACAGCTGCAGCGAGATGCCAGGCAGCATGAAGGAAGGGAGTCTGAGGGAACATGTCATCAGCAATAAAAAGCACACCTCCCACTAGTGATGACATCTTATGTACATTGTGGGCCGTCCTTAGCTCTGGATCTTTCAATGCTCTTTTCGCAAATGCTACCTGGAAAACAAAACAAGAGAATTGATGAGTAAAGTACAATTTTAGTAGAACCAGGTGCTTAACATAAAATTTTTCAGGTTGCCTATGGCTATGACTAGTTACTTAACACGAACTTTTTCATATGATTGAATAGATTACAGGAAAGTCACAAGGTTACCTCCATTATTCCAGTGTGAACGGCTGAAACCATCAGAGGCTGGATTGGTAGAAATAAGGCAGAAGCTGCCATCAGCAATTTTGGGTTTTCATTTCTGATGGCTCTTGAGAGACACTGCAAAAATATGAGTTGATCCATTTCTGATTATATCAAGTGGGCAACTGAGTAACTTTTAAGAAAGAAAATACACAGATATAACTAATACTTTGTACAGGAAGATACGAAACAAATTAAACATGTAGGAAAACTATATAAGAAATCATATATTGGGGTGTTAGTTTCTGAACCTCGTTTGGTGGTCTGATTGGTTTTTGTTCCTTGAATTTTTTTTTCCTTGATTATCATGATAAGTAGGCTTTTGCAGCAAATTCATTCTATTGGAAAATAAAAGTTACGTTGCAGATAATTAAGAGTTGGGGGGCTCATGACACTGACAAGGTGTAATCCATGTAAACTTGCCAAAGATGAGTATGAGTATGTACAAATTAATCCTAGAGCTTCTTCAGATGAACAAAATCCAGATAAATGTTCAGAGATGAGGTGAACAAGCAACATATCTCAGACTCTTAGTGAGTAATGCAGAAAACCAAAAAATGCTGAAAAATTCTGAAATCCAGTAGTTATTCCTATTGACCAAATCACCTTCACACTCAGAAGAGAAATATTTTCAGTTTATAAATTAAAAAGGCCCTCTTAAGCGATAACAATTCTAATTCAGATGCATCATTCCATACATTCATGTTTGAGTGAAGAATCACCATTACAATCTTTTTAATGAATTTAATTTTGACTAAAGCAATTTGGCATCATCCAGAAACAACTTCATGGATGTTGATAATAAAACCAACTATTATTTATTCAAGGAATTTTTCTGACTTACTACTGTTGCTGTGGCTATCATTGTATAGTCGGCCCATCTTAAATATTGCCTTAGTTTTCCTCTTGAAGAATGATATAAACTTGAGGCGACTCCAACTCCAATTAATGAATTAGCATATATCTTTGAATTTAGATTCTTCCTGTTTCACCAAGGAAGAAAAAGTTAATTAAAAGTGATGTATCAATAAGATTACGTATATGTCCATCAACTGTCTTACATAAAAGTATTACCTGGGGGCATGGATTCCAAGAACTATAAAAGGAAGTGAAGTGAGCACATTAGCAACTGTTTCTGCAACACTGTGATCGCCTAACAAAATGGGAAAATGCGTTAACAACAGCTATGTATTTTCCATACAAGAGATTGGATTGCAAGCCAGATAAAGATAAAAAATGCATTTATATTTATAATACCTTGAATGCAGCCCTGGATGGGCTTCAAACATGGCGGTCTTTGCTGCCATACTCGCCTGGAGACAATGCAGACAAAGTTAATAGCTGTGGAATTGCTTGCATTTGTTCTTCAATGTGTAATTGAATCTATAATGACTTCAAAACTGTGGAAATGCATTATAATTATTTTAAATAATTAGTACTCATAGCTTAATCTTGTCTCTTTGATGGCAATCACATGTCCCCTAAAATATTATTAGCATATGCTGATAAACAAGTCTCATTAATCAGGTTTCTCACTCACTGCATAAAAAGTTGCTGATTTGCTCCAACAGCCGAACTTCCACAAGTTGAGTGAGGAAGGTCTCCATCTTGAGTAGTCTCCTCTGATTCAAACAGTGAACACGGCACCACACGCACCCCGTGCATGCCCTCTAGGGCTCTACGTCGGTTCAATGTACTCTGGGGACTCATAAGTTCTTCTGTAATAAGGCAAGCAATCTTTTGCCAGCAAACACTTGCTGGCAATTGTTGGAAGAAGTGTCCCAATTGCGAGCCAATATGCCTCTTAAAAGTGTACCACTACAAAACAACAACAATAATTTTACAAATTAAGAGCAGAGCACATGATAATGTTGAGCAACCACTGAAGCTTGAAATTAAGGGAATTTATATATATAAAAAACCACGAAATTTGCATCCCATAGATAATGATTTTTTATATATATGGTTTTAATTCTTTCTCTGACTGAAAGAGCCCTCTTTGGCTAGGAAAACTGGAAAAGGCAACTCTCCATTAGCATGGGAAATCCAAATGGAGAGGTTTGGTTTCTTTCAATCGAACAGTTCATGGCGTGAGATCCCATGCTACAGGGAGGGAGGGGGTCGACAAAGGTCCTACACTCAAAAGAACCCTCTACATTTCAACCAGCCCCCTAAGATTTGCAAGGCATTCCCTTTGGCTAGTTATAAGATCCCTTCTTAGAAAGCCTCCTCAACACACACACACACACACACCCCCACCAGCTTCTATTAGAGAAACAATTTTAATCAAAATGCATAACACACCCTTACTCCAAACTCCAAAGCTCTTTTTTTTTTTTTTGAAAAAAAATTAATTAATTAATTATTTATTTATAAAAAAAGCAGATATTTTGAGCTCAAAATCTAACATAACTGGACGACAAACCAGAAGCAGTTCACATTACGAAGCGGTGTTTTATCAAACAGATTATAAGCACATCCATGTGCATAACAAAACCCCGAATCACAACCATAACCCATTATCCGATTTTCTTGAGAATGCAAATATTAAATTCGCCACCGATAAATAACACCCAAATTCCGAACCAAAAAAAAAAAAATCCATAGTGGCTCATTAATTAAAAAACAAGCAAGCAAGCCACCAACATTGACCTTAAAGAAACATCACAACAAATTGTGCGAATCCTAAGAGAGAGAGAGAGAGAGAACCTGGGAAGATGTGGAAGATTGGTGAAGCTGAGGAAAGAAGAGGAGGGGGGTTGGGTGTAAATAGAAGGGAATGAAATGCTAAAATAAATAGAAAGAGCAAAGGAAGGTTGGATTGAAAGGGTGGTTATTTCAGTTTGAGTTGGAAAAAAGAAAGAGAGAGAGGGAGATGCGCATGACTGAGGAATCTTCCTCCAATGTTCGTCGTCCCTGCTCTCGCATATTCCCAAAATCGTATCAAAATGTGCCATCTCATAATATCTATGATCTATCCTTCCAATATTCTAGATTAATTGGACAAAGGCCCATATATGATTATCTAGGCCCGTTGGGCTCTTGTCTTTTAGATCAGATTGAGATCCACAATCATCGAATATGGGTGTAAGGGCCGGACTTACCACTCTAATCAACTCGTCTAACCCATCCATCCGCCTTTACTATTATCATTTATTTTTAAGGAACGTGAGACAAGATTCAAATCAAGACCTTTGATTGATTTATTTTATTTTTGTTGACGATCACAGATTGATCTTTGATGTAGTCAATCATGCTTGCTTTGACTTGATACCGTTAAAATTGATATTATATTATTATGAACAAGATCTGATCATGGTGGACTAGCTAGTCTTGGTCTCCCTTCCCAGCTAATGAAGTAGGCCTCTCCTCTCCTCCTGTTCCTGTATGGTGGTGGTTGAGTGAGCTGGCATTCTCAATTTTGGTGATGGCAAAGCTATAAGCTGCATGCGCTGGTCTACAGTACTAAATATGAATGTGACTGATCAAATATCACACGCTTCCAATCATGACTCGGATAAAGACCTTATCAATTTTACTCAACACACCCAAAATTACTACCTACCGTTACCAAACTATATACTCTATAAATAAAATTTACTAATGCTAATATAATATGTTATTAATGCACGTGCTTATTGTTCACCTAGCTAGTAGAGTAAAATCCCTATATATAATTTATATGGAGTTTCTGTGCACAAGCAAAAGATGGTACGGCCACCGAGTTGGTTTAGAAATGCTCCATTTTTCACAAACGTATGTGGATTAGATTTGAAAATATTCCGGGGACAACGGCTATTAATACTGGACAGTCCCACACACCACACCCTCTCCAACTCCAAGCCAGCAGCATATATATGATATTCATTATAAATATACATATATGTACAACAACATCAAACCCCACAAAAAAAACCCAAACAGATACCGAAAAGCAAAGCAAAGCAAGTAAAAACAAAGCAGTGGTGAGTAAAAGGTGCAGACTCCCAAGTTTTTCAGAAGAAGTGAAATAAGAAATATAAGAAGGTTCCAGGAATCAAGGGTCAAGATCATGTGCCTAGGGTAGACCCGCCAGACAAGGAAGAATTGCACCACCAGAGGTTTTTAAGCTTCCTCTCTTCTCTCCTTCACTCAACAATCACTACCCAAAAAAGAAAAAACCCCACTTCCATTTCCACGAGTGCACAGTAGAAGCTAGTTAGAGCTCACATCAAGGTTTTTATGGTATTTATTAGTCTCTGCCATTACCATTTTTAGTTGGTGCAATGAGAGCTGCTGCTAGAGAAGGCCTACAAAGTAGCGGTGCGACAACAACAACAACAGGAGGAAGCAGACATGGGGGTGGAGAAGCTAGAAATTTTGCAATCTTCTTCTTCTGGGTCATTTTAATTTTTGTTTCAACAAGTAATTTGGTGGTTTCTGCCAGTAGAACCAGTACCAGTCATGGTGAGGAGTTGGGTGGTGGCCGGTTCATGAGGTCACCGCCAAGGAAATCACGTTTCCTGGGCAAGGTATCGTTTTATGCACCTTCAAGTACTCCATCTCATGATGTTCATCATTTTGTGGGGATCAACGGTGGTCCGGACAAGCTATATGGAGATGACAAGAGAATAGTTCATACAGGTCCAAATCCCCTTCACAACTAATTGATCATATTGAAATTTCAATATCAGTGGTTGGTTGGGGTTTGATTTGCTGCTCCTGTGTATTCCAGTACTACTAGCTAGGGTTGAATGCTACTAGCTTAGCTATAGTTAGCTAGAATTCTCATCAAGTGAAAAAAGACTGTAACATGTTTTATGTTATCAGTTTTTGTTTTGTTTTTTTTGTTTTCATTAGGTAGAAAGAATGAGAGCATGGCTTTAGCCTTTTTCAGTAGTGTTTGATGAGGTTATGGGCAGGGCAGGCAGCAATGCTGAGAGTGGTAAGAGGAAGAAAATGGGGAGGCTAGTGTTAATGCTCTTGTTTCTTTTTGCAGTCATCTTCTTACAGCTTTCTGTACCTTCTCTCTTTACCATTCATTTAATTGTGCTTCAATTCATTTCTGCACGTATAGTTATTATTCTTCATCTGCTGTCCTACTTTAATTCTTTCATGCCATGGTTCATTTCCAGCACCCCCATAACCCTAGACATATAACATTGCAGAAAATCAATAGTACTACAGGGTCGAATACTAGTTTGGTTACGCAGATCCGACCGTCCAACTAATGCTACTTCTCCATGATTGTGCATTATTACTGAGGCGTGCAATATAATTAGACCTAAATAATCACCCAGCACTGATTCAAAGCAAATGATCCTGATCATTGGTCCTCACTGCACTATTGGAGAAAAATATCAACGTCTAATAACGAGACACGTGGGGCAAGTAGGGCTTGAAGCTTTGAAACTAGGTAGCTTAGCTAGGCTGGGTTGATATTTTATTGGCTGGGGTGTGGGACTATTTTGATTGATTGTTCCTAGAAGTCCTCATCTGTATTTGGAGACTTAAATGCACCCATTTCATTTTTTTCTTCCAATGAGGATGCCTGTCTCTATGGGCCAACACGCTTCCTCACCTCAGTCAGGACTTATTAGGGTTTCTATTCTATTCCCCCAACATGTTATTAATGGTGCTCAAGTTTTTGCATGGAGCAGAGCCCTACGGGCACTTCACTTCCCCACCCACCACCACCCATTCCATCTCGTCCTTGGTCGTCCTTGCCTTTATTTTACATTTACTACAGGGGCAGGAGGAGGGTGCTCTTATTAGACTTAAATTATTAAGGGCAGCCACAGCTCCACTTTAGATTATAATATTGGTTGTTCTTCAATGTCACCTGTGGACAAAACAAAGTTCAACCTCTCAAGATTGGATCAACAATTAAAGAAACCCATAGAAACTTCCTTGGAATGAGTAGTGTAAGCTGAATCTGTGAAACCTATAAAAAATATATATATATATAGAAACAGCTCTCCACCCCAAATCAAAATTGGCCAGAAAACAATAAAGTTTAAAATAATTTCTTATAATTAATTAATAATCTAATTAAGTAGTTTTTGATTACTTCAAAAATGAAAAGATTCTAGCTATCTCTTCTCACCTAATAAAGATGTCGAGGGTTATTATTTTTGTGGAAAGTGGTATTTCCCCATGAGATGAATGTTTGCTTGGAATCATTCATAAATGTGTGAGTTAAAGAGGGTCTGATCGAAATGCAACTACCTCATCTCTCTCTTTGTCAACTCCCATAAAACCCGTTTATTGCTTCCACCCACCCCAAGATTTTGCATTCCATCGCGAGCTAGGGTTTTGTTTTGAAATTTTAATTTAAATATTTGTTTCCATCAACATCTTCATTGAATAAATATGGTCATGTTTTTTTTATCACCAATTTAGAAATCATAACCAAGGAAGGACCCCACGCTGGTCGACAAGCTGGCTGAAAGCCAAGTTTATCACAATATCATCAACCACCAAAAATATACTTCTTCTTTCATACATAATGTTATCAATGTAGACCGCCTTCTTCATCATTACAAGTTTAGGGTTTTTGTTTAAGCCAACCAAAGTAGCATCAATTTCAACAGAAAAGGAAAAAAAAGGAAAAAAAGAAGCCAAGTAGCATCAATGGTTTTGTTTTGGGTCAGAGCCAAGTTGGAACATAGTAATATAAGATAATGCACTAAAAAACAACTAGGAAGAAATGGGCATGGTGACCTTGGGAGTTAAAATGGAGAGAAAATTGCTTGCACTGATTGACCAAAGCAGCGCAGGGTTTTGTTGGTATTTCCTTTCGGTTAACGACAAAGACATGTTTCTTGGAAGAATGATATCTAGGCATTTGGTCCCTTTACCCTTCGAGTAGTAAATATATGGAACTTGGAAGTTAGAAAGCTCGCATGGCGTTGCATGAGCGGGAATAGTATTATTTTGTTATCCGATTACCACACCACGAGCATAAATTTAGCTTTTGTTTTGTGACAGGGCAGCTTGAAAAGAGACTTTATTATTATATGGGTCGTCGACTCGTAAATTGATAGATACGCAGGAGAAACCAGAATGGCAGAATAATGAATGAGATTGCTTTTACAACTCTCAACTTTTCATTGATTGTTTTTCCCCTTGAATCTTTAACGATTAATTACAATTTGTTTTTTTACCAATAGAGGAACATCTAATCCCACTTTTCTACTCATGAATTGATTTATTGACTTTAATATCTTTATTCCTTAAAAACAGTAACTGCACCCACTTGAGTCCTTGACAACAAGATGCAGTCTAATTATAAAGTACTAGCACACTTTTTTATTTATTTTTAAATATGCCAGATTATAATAAGGTAGAACTTTATAACATATAAAGTTGAATTGAACAAAGTTTGTGAGTGTAACATTATTGGAAAATGTGTGTCACACGCAAAATTTCCTTGGGAGAGGATTTTTATTTTTTATTTTTTATGCTTATATGAAATTTTGGGTCTGAGAGGTAACCGAAGATCAGGTGGAAAAACAAAATAAAGAACCAGCAGGTGCTGGGGATGAGTTAAAAAAAAAGGGGCGGAAACTGAGAAGGGGCTTGGGGAACTCACAGAGGATAAAGGACTCTCGTAGCAGATGAGAGGCAACAATGCAGGCACGGAAAGACCAACAAAGCTAACATTGCAAACACTACAAAACAACATAAAATGAACATAACCTGTGCAGGGGAATTGGTAGCTTGCACCTGTTAATGGACATGTATATTGAAAGTGCTCAAAGTACAGATGCATACATGGTCTTTACATAGAGGAAACAAAAAAGAAAATACCAAAAGCATTGCTTGGTTCTTTACCTCAAAGCAAATATTTGCTAGAAACCGTCCTCTAATTCTCGTAAATTTTGTCACTGCATATTTCATATCAATCCTCTCCAGAGGTGAATCTTGGATGCATGCCATGTCTAAAGACACAAGATATACACTTCTCGTTCAACAAAATGATCATCTTCATTGCCTAGCAAATTTGTGTCACCAACTTAACTGTTGAACCATGTAATGAGTCACCAACCCAATCTCTCAAACCCAGTTCTCCTGCAAAATATTCATCTTTCGGCTTTATTCTAGTGAAAATTTCTGTTAACATTATGCCATAACTGCAAACGTGATGGAGATATGCAAATATTGAGGCAACATCTACCACTACCTTTAGTCTCTGCAATCTATCTTGAAAAAAGTTGTGAGAGTAGTATAGCCATTTCTCAAGGCTCCCATTAGGCGTTTATTCTAGTGCCAAGGATCTTGAGATTTTTGTGGCAAACATTACGCACTGTTTCACAATCTGAGTCAAATTCCTTGGTGATGTATGAAATTAAACATTCTCAGCCAAAAAAATTGCTTTCCTCAAACCTCTTAGTGCTGTGCAGAAGTTCATGTAGGAAGTCCACTTTTTCAGCATCGCCAGATATAAGATATCTGTTGCCGTTGATACTTTGTCAATACAAGTGCACAAGCTAGTTCAGGTATCATTGACGTAGGCAATATAATAGTTACCTTTGAGCCATAGCTAGTATCTATTATGAGCTCATCCTTGGTTCTTCTTCAATCACCATATGCCAGTCATTAGTATTTCTTGCGATCACCAAAAGTTGTTGCATGAACAATCACCATTTCTAAAATGATGAAAACGGATTTTATCTCTCAGGCCTTAGATTTATAAGACTAAATGCAACGGCAATCTTTTCACTGTGACTGCTCAGTGTGGCTTCCTTTTCACCCATGTCTACATCATGAAACACGGAGCTGGTATTTGGAATGTAACCTATACTCTTCACTTGTCTCAATAAGTCCTCCAACTTCTCATATATTTCTGATGACTCTGGGTGCAATCTGTCTCCACCATAGAAAATGTGGAATTTCCCATTACATTCAACGGAGCTGTAGGCAGCTATTTTCTTAACACCTCCTTTTCTCATTCTGAGCCTCACCTTATCAACAAAATCCCATCTTCCAGCAGCCGCATATATGTTTGACATTAAGACATGATATGAACCAATATCTGGAGCTACTTCAAAAAGTAAATCAGCTGCACGCTGGCCCAGTTCAACATTTTGGTGGATTGTACAGGCGCCCAATAAAGCTCCCCACACCCCAGAATCCGGTTCAATTGGCATACTTCTTATGAAATTATAGGCCTCTTCAAGATGTCCTGACCGGCCTAGAAGGTCAACGATACATGCATAGTGCTCTATTTTTGGTCGAATATTCTTGTTACCAGATTGGACCATGTGACTAAAATAAGCCTTGCCTTCATTTACAAGCCCAGCATGGCTACATGCACACAAAACTCCGAGATAAGTGACATGGTTTGGTTGCACTCCATGTTTTTGCATCCTCGAAAACATATTCAATGCCTTTTCACTCTCCCCATTTATGGAATACCCTATTACCATAGTGCTCCAGGAAATAACATTTTTCTGAGGCATATCCTCAAACAACGCCTCAGCCATGTCTATGCTACCACATTTCACATACATATCAAGCCGTGCATTGGCAACAATTATATTGCAAACAATCCCATATTTTCTCATGATCCCATAGATTTCTTCCCCATTCTCCAAACACCCTAATTGACCACAAGCTGAAAAGGCACTCACAACACTAACAGCATCAGGCTTAATTCCAGCTACATCCATCTGGCGAAACAATGCAAGAGCCTTACCAGCATTGCCATTTTGTACACAAGCCGCAATGAAAGCATTCCAAGCAATCAAATCCCTGTCAACCATAGTTTCAAATAGAAAATCCGCCATACCCAATTCTCCGAATTTCGCAAACATTAGTATCAGCTCAGTCCTCACCATAGCAACGAATTCCAACCCATATTTCACCACATGGGCAAGAACAGCTGATCCAGCCCATAATTCGGGCAGTTCAGCACATGCCTTGACCACAAACGTGTAAGTAAACTGGTCAGGACGAACACCCAGAAGGTGCATTTGTCTATAAACAAAAGCCGCCTCCGTAAAAATACCATTTTTGACATAGGCTTTGATAAGAGTGTTCCATAGAAAAACGCGTGGCTTATGCATTTGGTCGAATAATTGGCGGGCATAGGACATGTCCCCTAAGAGTGTGAAATTGGTGAGAAGTTGGGTGATGAGGCTGTTCTTGATAGAGAGGCCTGTGGTGAGGATAAGGGCATGAATTTGCTTGAGTTCGTTTGGGTAGGAAGAGCATGACTGTAAGAGGGTGGTGAAGACTTTCTTGGTCAGAGCAATTGGTGGATTGGTGGGGTTTTGGGTTTGGGTGAGAGAAGAAAATTGGAGAATTGAGGCAAGTGGTTTAAGTGAGAGACTGAACCAAAGCTTGGTCATGCCCATCATGCAATGGCTTCTTCTGGAGCTCCATGGTATTTGCATCACTCTTCTCATTCTCTCAACTAACCGAATTGTCGTTGGTTGTTCTTACGAGGAACAGAGGAAGACCCAAACGTTGTCGTTTTTAGCTGACATTTGACTAAACTGACATTTCAACGATAAGCCGCAGATATTTCTTGACCAAAAAAGAAAAAAAAAGCCGCAGATATTTTGTCCGGCTGCCAATGCGAGGGCATTTCAGTAATTTCGAGTCTAGCGAGTGAAATGTTCTCTCAGCCACAGCGAGAAGTTTCTCTCGGTCCTCCTCTCTGCTCAGCGCTCTCAGGCTCTGAGCCATGGCTGCCCAATCACCATGTGGATGGTCATGGAACTCACCGACCCACGCCATCGCCACAGTTAAATGCTCTTCTAACTCCTCAAGTCTCTCTTCCTTCCACTCAGCTCCACAAAAACGACCTCGTTTCACGGCTTCTTCGTCTCCTTCTTCTAGTAGCTCTAAATCTACTGCGAAGCAGGGACTGAGAAAGCCCCTGAAATTGGATAGTGCGAGTCCGAATCCAAGCAAATTAGGTAAAAGTTCAAATGGAAATCGATCTGAAGACGAAAATAGAATAACGCCCCTAAGCTTCAAGTCCTTCTTTGGGAAACGATCTCTGTGGCGAAGGATATTTTTCGCCTCTAAGAAAGTTCGGAGCATCATTTTGCTCAACGTTATCACCGTCGTTTATGGTAAAGTTTCTTCCTTTTCTTTCTTTTTTTTCTCCCTAAAAGTTGAGCATTATTAACATTGTAATATTTCCATAAATAATCTCTGCCTTATGTCTGGTTGCTCATAAAATTAAAGAAAAGAACAAAAAATTGTTACGTTTAACAATGTGTAATGGTAGCTCAAGAAAAATATAGGGTAAAGGGCAAGTGAAGTTACTGAACAGAGAGATGATTTAGAGTTTTAGTGGGAGAATCAATAGGAAAGCACAAATAAGTCAGTGTGGAAACTTGAGAGAACTCGTTGTTCAATCAGAAGTGAAAATTATAGATGTCTTCCCGCTAGGAAGTAAGAGCTTACCGTGCATTGGTATTGAGTTGGCAGAACTTACTTTGTATTATTCAAGAGATGTTTAATCACTGATCCATAATGCAAACCAACTGCAGCCTTTTAACCCTCTGGAAGTGAAAGCTATTTGGGTTATGAAGTCCAGGCTCGTATGGTGTATTGTATTGAAGGTGCACGAATCACAATTTTAATTTGTTCCACTCATCTTTTTCACTTGTTGCAGCCAGTAACTTCTCGGTTGTGAAAGAGGTGGAAGCGATCATGGACCCAGCAGCCTTTACTGTTGTTCGGTTTGCTGTGTCGGCCATTCCATTCATCCCATTTGTGTTCCGAGCACGAGGTGATATTCATACCCGTAATGCAGGGATTGAGTTGGGTTTCTGGGTCAGTCTAGGGTATCTCATGCAGGCTCTTGGATTGCTAACATCAGATGCCGGTCGTGCATCATTTATATCCATGTTCACTGTAAGTCTCTTTATTAACCTTCTATGCATATATAGGAGGGCAAATTGATTGTTTGCTGGGCGTACCTAAAGGTACAATGTTGGCATTTTCTGGGTGAATTTAACAGGTAGTTATAGTTCCATTGCTTGATGGTATGTTAGGAGCAATAGTCCCCACTCGTACCTGGTTCGGAGCTCTCATGTCTATCATAGGAGTTGCAATGCTGGAATCCAGCGGATCTCCACCCAGTGTAAATTGTCATACACTTGATAAGATGTTTATAGAATCATCTGTCATTTTTTATATAATTGGTGATCGGTCTTTCTCTCTCTTGCTCTTAGTAAAATTGCATCCAACCAAACCTTTTCAGGTTGGAGATTTGTTGAACTTCTTAAGCGCCGTGTTTTTTGGTGTCCATATGTTAAGAACTGAACACATTTCGAGAAACACAAAAAGAGAAAATTTCTTACCTCTGCTCGGTTATGAGGTTAGTATATTGTCGTTATGTCCATGTTTGTTAGATATGGAATGAATTCTACTTGTTAATATTCATCGGTGGTCTTTTAAGGTTCTAAGATTCCATTTAGGTATGCGTTGTTGCTATCATGTCAACAATGTGGTACTGCGTTGGATCAGGGTCCGGGGGCCTGCAAGATTGTAACCCATCATTGTGGACGTGGAAGATATTCTGGGAGTGGATGGTGGTGTTTCCATGGATACCTGCACTGTACTCGGGCATATTCTCGACTGGTCTATGCTTATGGGTAGAGGTATTTGCAAATGCTCATCTGAGGGTGTCAACCATTTGATCTTGCATTGCTGTGTTTCCTGGGATTCATTGGATACACAGCTTATGTCCAATACGAAATGAACATTTGTAAATTATATGACCTCTGGTTGAGGATACTCCTTATGCTCTTGCTAAACCAAATAAATTCGCAAGCATTATTTTTTTAGCTTAAATTTTTAAATAGAGAATTACTCTTACAGATGGCTGCAATGCGTGATGTATCAGCCACAGAAACAGCAATAATTTATGGCTTGGAGCCAGTCTGGGGTGCTGGTTTTGCGTGGTTTCTCCTTGGGGAAAGGTGGGGCACTACTGGTTGGATTGGGGCTGCACTGGTGCTAGGTAAAGTAAATTCAGCTATTATTATCAAACTACCAATGACCAAATATTACCTTACCATTAGTAGGTGCAATGCTTATGATTTAACATATCTACTTTCGGACTATACATCTGCTGCTCACCTTCTAACCAGCTTGTATCTTAGTAAAATTGAGTATTTACGTGGTTATGTAGGATTTCAGTAAAGCTTAAATTGGTCAAATTTCAAGCTTGAGAAGAATAAGAATTTCAAGAATTAGGTTCGGTATGTTATTTAAAAATCTGTGAGTTAAAGTTTAAATGATTTTATTGGAATAGGAACGTACCTATCCTCTTCATTGTGCTCTTTCCCAGGATAGAAGAATTAAATTCTTGTGTTATTAAATGATTTAAAGATGTGCTTCTGAAACCCCGCACCTGCCTGTTGTTGCTTGAAATGAGAAGGGTAGTGTGCTCAACTAGTCGGTTTGTCAGCTAGATGTTCTATTGGCTAAAAGTTTGACAAATTAACCTTAATGCGTACCGATATTCAAACTCGAACAGGGAAATACTGATTAGTTGATGTTTATAATTATTAGTGGTTGCTTTCCATATGCATTTACATGTCTGGTTCTTGTTTATCTGCAGGTGGAAGCTTAACAGTACAGATCTTTGGATCGACATCTCCTGCAAAGTCTTACAAAGAGGAAAAGGACAGTAAGAAACTCGATTACCCTGTGGTTTCAGATAAACACAATCGCCTTTCTGCCTCTCCAGTTACTGTTAGTTCCAGAAAGGATATTCCGGATATGCTAAATAAGTGAGGAGCAAGATCCCATGTGTTCCAAAGATAATTCTGTATAATCCATTTTACTTCTCCTTGTAATTATTTAATTGTTAACTGGATTTCAATTTTGGACAGCTGATGGGTGGATGGTTGAGGGCTCTCAGTCTCAGCCTTATATGTATATACATATGCTGATATGCTGATATGCACAATTACAGATTACTTCATACATTATTTTAAGGAATGACAAAATATGGTGCTTCTTCGAAATTAGAAATTTTTTTTCGACAATATTGCTTCTTTCTTCACATTATTGCGAGATATTAATTTTAAATTCTGGAAATGGGAGTTGGTTATGACTTTTATATTCTGATTAAATAAAGAACCATCCAATTAGCCCAAAACCCAAAAAAAAAAAAAAAAATTTAAATTTTAAGTGTGTACCTATAATAATATTTAGTATTTGTTAATAATGCTGGTGATGGATGATGAGTAAGATCATTCGTCCCTGCCTGGCCACTTGATTATCTCTATTTTCTTATTGTCAAGTTGTCTTAAGCCGTGGGGTTTGCCCAGATTTTGGTGACGATGAAAACAAATCAAGTGAATTATAATTAATTAAGTGGAAGTAGTTTTCATGAGTCTCATTATAGCATGATTGTCGAATTAAAAATATTTAAAAAGAACTCACGAGTATCATGAGTCACATTTTATAATTATGAAAGGATAATTCTAATTTAATCGAATGTCAATATTAACAGTTCACTACACAACTGTCAATTCATGCTGATACAGTACATGCCGTTCGCCATTACTCAATGCTTTCTCATATTATACAGATCTTTTTGGGTACAGGTTTGGTGGGAGGTACTAGTCGTAGTGGGGCCGTTCACGTGAATATGTTTAAATACTGCCCTCTAAAAAAATCAATAAAGATATGAAATTTGACGCAGATGTGGCCCATTATATTGAGAGATTATAGAATTATAATACATTTTCTACACGTGTTATAGTATAAGATGTACATGTGGTATTCACATTTTTTTTGAGATTAATTCACTCCGTATTTACTTTCTCATTTTGGACAGTCTAGCGGACGACAATGACATGACGGGCCAGAGACTGACCTTTCTGGGCCAATAACTGTTTTGACTCAGTCTTTGCTTTCTTGGAGCGTCGGCCACCACCACTGTAACTCAAAAATAAAATTAGAAAAAATAAAACAAACACTGTAAACAAAACCTTTATTACTTGTCTCCTCCGCATATATTGTGAAAATTAGTAAATGTGTTTCATGTGTTTCGTGAGTTTCATGATGTGAAGCATGCACCTGCTACCTCTTAAAGTTATTATACAAAATATCAGGCAATTCAACTGTAATGACTTGTATTTAAGGAGAAGCCAAGTTATACGTTGTTCAACATTCTGCCTTATACATATCAAATTTCAAAACTGATAAGCATAAGCATGGCTCTGCACGGTTTTATTGGGACTCAAATAGAACTCAAGTCACCTGCTGATAAGTTCTACAAAATCTTCAAGGGCCAAGCCCACCTCATCCCAAATGTTTCTTCTGGCCATATCAAAGGCGTTCAGGTGCATGAAGGAGATTGGGAATCGCACGGCTCTGTTAAGATCTGGAATTATCATCTAGGTAATTAAGTAACTGTATCATATGGGTACGAAAAAAACATCATAAGATGAGCTTATATATATATTTTTGTTGTGAAATAAATGTGACAGGGGATGAAGTTGGGACATTCAAGGAAAAGGTCGAGTACGACGACGAGAACAAGGCGGCAACTCTGACTGGATTGGACGGAGAAATGTTCAAGTATTACAAGAGCTTTAAGGGCATCTATCAGTTCGCTCAAAAGGGTAATGTTAGCGTTGCCAACCTGACGATTCACTATGAGAAACGGAATGCGGATGTTGAAGCTCCAGATAGATTTGTTGGTCTCATGGTTACCCTCGTCAGGGATCTTGATGCTCACTTTGCCAAGGCATAATCGAATATCAAAAGCATACATATATATATGTATGTTAATGCGAGCTTTGTCTGGTTAATAGTATAAGTAATGCTTTGTTTTATGTAAGTTTTTCTTTGTGGTAAGTGCATGAAGGGATTTCATATGTGATATATTGTGATGTATTGGCTATGTGGGTTATCACATATATAAAATAAAATGCGTGGTGTGCTATATATACATCTCCAGTTCTTGCTCATCATTCATATATCAAGTACAAAATAGACTTAAAAACCAACAATATCCAATTGGTATATGTTGCGCGCTTGGATTCGAAGTACTTAAAAGATCAAAAAATTTGAAGTATGTTGCGTGCTTGGATTCGAATTTCACGTTGAACACTTAGCCTTGTACGGAACACAAGCTAAAAGTAGTAAAAAAGTAGTAGAGGCAGCTGGAAGCTCTTTCCTTCATCCTTGACCAAAAAAAAAAAAAGCTCTTTCCTTCATCCTTGACCAAAAAAAAAAAAAGCTCTTTCCTTCATCATTTGCGCTCTCCTTTTCCCTCTTCGTCTCTCTCTTTCTTTATCTCTTTGCCCTTCTTCCCTGTGAAATTGCTGGTTTACTTTAATATTAACGAATCGACATAAAGAAAAGAAAGCGTTGATGGATGCGACGAATGAAGGTAGATTCCACAAAGAACAAAGTTTTCACGTTCTTCCATTCCATAAGCGACACTGAAAAAATGCCCTAATAATGTATGGACGAAACTCTCATGACAACTAATCCAAAGCAAACACAACTCAACCCAGCCGGCAGTGCAATAAGCACCCAACCCAACTAGTCAAACCCTAAACCAGCACAGCACCCACGATGTAAGTAACGTAATTAAATTTATCTCTGTTGATTAATGGGAAGTCTAGGTCTTGCTGGAGGATGGGAACAACACACACACCATTTTTCATTATTCAGTTGAATAGCCAATTTAAAAATTAATAATAATTTGACAGATAATGTGAATTTGGAAACTAAATTATTGATCTTTTAAATACATTAATTTATTTTTATATAAAAAATAAATAAAGGCAATTCTACGCCACCTGCCTTATTAGGGTGGCAATTTTAAAATTTGGAAATGGTAGTTGGTTTGACTTTTGATTAAAGAACGAAAACCCAAAGGGGAAAAAGTTATACATTATTAAAGATTTGTCGAAGATCAATCGAAGATCTAAAACGTTTGTCCTTATTTTATTAAAGATTTGTCGAATTTGATAGGTGTGGATCATCCCTGCCTGCCCATTTGATCATTTCTTATTGGCAAATTAGATTTGGTGAGGATGAAAGCAATAATTGGGTTTTCGTCGCACTTTGATAAATGTGAATCTTATAAAGTACTATAACTCATAACGCACTTACGATATATATATGAATTGAAGATCTCGCATTGCATGCATGTACACTAACTATGAATTGAGAGACAGTTGTCCAGCATTCACTTTAACTAATGAGGGATTAGTAAAATCCAAATGAAAAAGATGTGATCCTTGAAAAGGTAAATATTTTTTATTCTAAAAGTTCATTTGGCTAATGTTTGTTCAGCACATGGCGATGTACCGAAAGTAAATGCACTTATATAAAATCAACGACGGTTTTTAAAAACCGTTGTCTTTACAAATAAATGACAGTTAAAAGTTGTCATAATTGATATCGGTCGATTTAATGACTGTTTTCAAAGCATCACAATGAGGGTGGATCCCCTTGTCTATTTTCGTTTTTTTTCCTTGAAAACTTGAAATACCGTGTAAAAGAACAATAGGCAAACCTTTATTTCGTCATTTATACATATCGCAAACATTACGTTAATCTGAATTCATATAAAATATATTTTCAATATAATTGATATAAAATAAATGTGTTGATGTGTTTCATGTGATTCATGATGTATGCATATTTCAAGCACTATATTTTTAAAGTTATCCAATAAAGTAATAAATATTGCACCATTTAGGTGTTGTCACTCTCACTTGTATTTAAGGGGAGCCCAAATTATGTTCATTAACATTCTGCCCTGTACACACATCGATCGCTACTTATACATACTAATTTACATCAATTTTTACACTCATTTTGCTAGTATCAAAATGTGATGAAATTCTTATAAACTTTTGTAAGCACTAAATAAGTATACATGTGGAAGACTTTTAAAAGGCCAGAAATGATTGAGACCTAAACTAGAGTCCCTCCCGTCACATATTTGGTGAAGGCCAAAGCTACCAGACCTAACATGGCCAACCTTCCATTCAACAACTCAGCATCTGACGTCATTATCCCATCTGATTTGGACTCCACGCTCACGCCTTTAAACAAAGGAATCAAAGATGCCACTGACAGCAAAATACTAGTGCCAACGAACAAAAAGACTCCACCGTCGGATATCTGGGCAAACACATCCTGACCCTTGAATAGCTCCACTGCGAGGGCTAAAACGAACCCCACCATTGCAAGCCTGCCGTTGATTCTCTCCGGGGCTGGCCCACTGAATGCAAGCAAGTCCGAAAATTTTGTGCTGACCTGCCGTAAGAAAGAAATATATGTCACCTCTTTGCTCTTCTTCAGTGCCATTTTCTACGAAGAAAATAACAATTCAATTTTTTTTTCTTTCATTTATTAACAGGTTAATTAAAGAGATTTTCTATTTAAACCTCACACTTCTCTTAGTTCACCCCATGTTCTAAGTTCACCCCATTTTTTAATTTAAATTTTCATAATTTCTAAGAAAACCCCACTGTCTTCCCAAACTACCCTTAAATACACCCCAAACTGAAAAAATAAGAAATAAAAGAGATTTTCTATTTAAACCCCACAATTTTCTTTGTTCCCAGCAGAAAAAAAACACAAACATATGGAACCCTAAACCCTTAGGTATTGTTGAGAGAGAGAGAGAGAGAGAGAGAGTTTGTAAACAGGAAGTTGGGGTGTGTGTATAGATATACTAGAGTTAAATATTAAGTTGGATGACCTTTTTTGTCTTTTTACACAATAATAAAACTTACAGCTTAATGATTTAAGTATTGGGGTGAACAAAGAGAAGTGCGGGGTTTAAATAGAAAATCTCTTATATTATCGTGTTAATTGATGCGTGCTTTTGTGATGTATTAACTATGGTTATCACATAAATAAAATAAAATGAGTGGTGTGCTGATGTGTCCAGTATTTCCTCATCATTCGTTATATTAACTACAAATAGCCTTAATACTTCACAATTATGACAAGTCACAACCCAACAGGTTTGGACGAAAATGTTCAATTAACTATTTACCCACAAAGACAAAAACTAAAAATATTTAATGTGATAGGAACTCCCATTACTTCGGTTTGCCAAAATACAATTGATGTTTCAACAAAAGAAAAGATTGATTGATGTTATAGTCTGATAACTATATAAAATAAAATGAGTGGTGTGGATGTGTCCAGTTTTTGCTCATTCGTTATATCAACTACAGATAGCCTTAATACTTAACAATTGAAAAACATTGAAAAAAAAAAGATTGGGGATAATTATGGACAAAGCCAAAGCTGAATTGCGGAGAAGTCTTTCAATTTTAGTTTGCAGTTTCCATCTAATGCATTATTTATTTGCTTCATGGTGTGACTGGCACTCAAATAGCCTCCACAAGTTCTAAGATTCAGTTGAAATATCCCATTTTGCATGTAATGCCTAAAATACACTGTGGCTGGCTGCTGACGGTTCAGGTGTCCTTTAGTCTAATCTTGTGAGTAGTGACTGTTAATCTTATAACATCTTAGCAGACATACAAATAATACACAAAATACCTGCAGAAGAAACCATTGTTTCAGTAGGCAAGTCTTCCACCTCTTTAACAAGCTCTGTATATCACTCTATCTCTGATAATGAGCTTTAGTTGGTATAATTCTAATAGGACTCTCCCATTACAATCCTATTAGAATTCAACTTAATCACCAATTAACCAGATGACTATGTCCAACTCTTTTAATTATATTATTAGGACTTCAATGCTTAAATAGAATATCTTAATCACATATGTATAAGCTTCAGAATACTTATTCTAATTGATCTTGGTATCTGTCTCACCCAGCCAAGTTCAACGAGTGTGTGACCTTATAACGCTTACATTCTCCCACTAGGGCACACACACCATTAAAACATAGGCTCCTTTCGAACTCGAAACAAATACAAACTTTAAGGCACCATAAGATCAAAGAACAAAAGTCCTGAACATGTTTCTGTCATATGAGAATATAAATGCAGAACTACAGATACAGTAACTCGTTTCAATCAAGCAAGGCATCCCTAATTACGACCATAAAATCCAGGAAAATTATTTTCTTTTATTCTGATTTTTTTAATTTGGCAGTGGCTCCAGGAAAATTAAGAAATGCATGGTAGAATTATACCATTTCAATTTTAAAAATACAAGTTAGATATCTAGCTATTTATTTCTCAATTATTCAATTATTTGCCAAGAGTTTTGTTTTATTTTGTTATTTTTTTTACAAAAATATATTCTAACTCTAATGTACAAGAAGGGGATCAAACTCGAATGTTGCTTCAATCAACTGATCTGAACTACAGATACACTAACTCGTATCTATCATTCTCGAAGTTTTTTACGCCACCTGCCTTATTAGGGTGGTAATTTTAAATTTTGGAAATGGGAGTTGGTGTGACTTTTGATTAAAGAACGAAAGCCCAAGGGAAAAAGTTATACATTATTATATACGTACCATAAATAATGGCTGTGTGACTGATCAATCGAAGATCTAAAATGTTTATTTTATTAAAGATTTGTCGAATTTGACAGGTGTGGATCATCCCTGCCTGCCCATTTGATAATTTCTTATTGCCAAATAGTTTATAAGCATGGGCTGGGTTTGGTCTGCATAATTAGATTTGGTGAGGATGAAAGTAATAATTGGGTTTTCGTTGATTTTACATCTCAGAAAGGTTATTCATCTCTCGTAGTTTTTACACTTTCATAAATGTGAATCTTATAAAGTATTATAACTCATAAGTATCTTTCTTTCGTAGGCTTGAAGATCTGGCATTGCATGCAACACATTTTACGATGTATATATGAATTGAAGATCTCGCATTGCATGCATGTACACTAACTATGAATTGAGAGAGTTTTTCTTCAGACAGTTGTCTAGCATTCAATTTAACTAGTCAGGGATTAGTAAAATCCAAATGAAAAAGATATGATCATTGAAAAGGTAAATATTTTTTATTCTAAAAGCTCAAATCATTTGTTGAGATATAACAATATCAAATACAATATTTTTCCTTAATATAAGATTTGGCTAATATTTGTCCTGCAGCCGGAACCGAAGGTAATTGCACTTGTTCATGGATGTTGAGAGCTAGCAATAACACTCTTCTTACCAAAAATATTTATAAAAAGAAAAAAAGTCTCTTTATATAAAATCAACGACGGTTTTTACAAAAAAAAAAACCTTCATCTTTATAATAAAATAACGACGGTTTTTAATAAAACTGTCGTCTTTACAAATAAACAACGATGGTGAGAAGCCGTCATAATTGATGTTGGTCGATTTAACGACAGTGGATCCCGTTGTCTATTTCGTTTTTTTGTTTGCTTGAAAACTTGAAATATCGTGTAAAAGAACGATAGGCAAACCTTTATTTAATCATATATACATATTGCAATCATTACGTTAATCTGAATTCATATAAAATATATTTTCAATAATTGATATAAAATAAATGTGTTGATGTGTTTCATGTGTTTCATGTGATTCATGATGTATGCGTGTTTCAAGCACTATATTTTTAAAGTTATCCAATAAATTAATAAATATTGCACCATTTAGGTGTCGACACTCTCACTTGTATTTAAGGGGAGCCCAAATTATGCTCATTAACATTCTGCCTTGTACACACATCGATAACTACTTATACTTAATTCTGAGTATCATCACAACAACAACTGATAGACATGGCGCCTCTGAAAGGTAAGGTTGAGACTGAAATAGAAATTAAGGCACCAGCTGAGAAGTTCTACAACATCTTCAAGAGCCGGGCACACCACGTCCCAAACATTTCTTCTGGCAGCATTCAAGGCGTTCAGGTGCATGAAGGAGACTGGGAAACACATGGCTCTATTAAGAGTTGGAATTACTCAGTAGGTAAGGTCACCTACATACATCTTACATGTAGTGGGGTGTATATCTTTAATTCCCTACCTAACAAAATACAATTATGTCTTGTGAAATAGGGGACGAAGTAGGGGTATTCAAGGAAAAGGTGGAGTACAACGATGAGAACAAGTCCATAACTCTGAATGGGGTGGAAGGAGATGTCTTCAGGTATTTCAAAAGCTTTAAGCCTGTCTATCAATTCACACAAAAGGATGAAGGCAGCACTGCGACCTTGTCGATTGCATATGAGAAATTGAATGACAATGTTGCAGCTCCAGACAAATACGTTGGTTTGATGGTAAATATTGTCAAGGATCTTGATGCTCACTTTATCAAGGCATGAGGAAAAGCATGCAACGGTGAAAAGAGCTACGTACTGCTTGCTGGTTCATCGTTAAAGTTCATGAATTATATCGTCGTGTTAATTAATGCGTGCTTTGTTTAATTACAAGTAATTAAAAAATGCTTTGCTATGTATTTGTGTCGAGGGATGTCATATGTGATATTGTGATGTATTAACTATGGTTATCACATATATAAAATAAAATGAGTGGTGTGCTTATGTGTCCAGTTTTTGCTCATCATTCGTTTATATCAACTACAAATAGCCTTAATAGTTAACAATTCTAACAAGTTACAACAAGTGGCGGATCCAGGATTCAAAAAACCACGTTTTATTAAATCGACGTAAGTCTCGTCCTTCTAAATGGCTTAGATAATCTTCTAACTCCGGTTGACATGGTCCTAAAATAATATAGCCTTTTCGCACATTATCTTGTTCATTCACTGAATATTGGCATATTTGACGACGTAATCCCAGATCATGCTCAAGATAATTAATATTAAAATCTTGACCACTATCAACTCTTTCAACTTGGGACTCGACAATGGGAGAGTCGAGAGGATTTTGCTTATCACAAAGGGGAGGCATTGTACTAGATGATGACCCATCATTCTTTTTCTTAAAAAAAGAGAACAAATTCTTTGTTTTCTTAGGGTTCCGATTGTGATCCGACATAATAAAAGATAACCTATTTAATCAAATATCACAGCCAAAAATCAAACAAATTCTCATAATAACATCAATGTCTTTAATGAAACATTAACATACCAACAACAAATCAAACATCTCAATAATACCAACATCAAATCAAACATCTCAACAAAGAGGAGACAATACTCAGTTTCAAAGACCTAATTAATTTCAACAAAATCCCAAATTATAATTCATTTCTAATTAAACCTCAGAATACTCAATTTCAAATTAAAATTAAAATTAAGATGCATACATGTATTTTAGGAAAACCCCAAAAAGAGAAGATAATTAAAGAGGAGAGAATGAGAAATACTTGTTGACAAGGAAGGAGAAGGTATCTTTTGTTTTTTTTGAAGTATAATATAAGTGGGCATGGCACATGGTTGGAGTGGAGAATGTCGGCTAGGCTGGAGCATTTGAGTTGATATTGCTTTTATTGTTTTTGTTAAATGAGAAAGTTTGAGTGGGCTGGGCTATTGTTTTTTTTTTTTAAGGGGAAACATTTGAGTGGGTTGGGGTTGAGTAGGCAGAAGAGATATTATTGTATTAAGTATTGGGTAATATTTGATTTGGCAAAAAATGGAGTAGGCGGCTGCCTACCCTGCCCTTAGGGTAGGACCGCCCCTAGTTACAACCCAACTGGTTTGGACGAAAATGTTCAATTTACTATTTACCCACAAAGACAAAGACAAAAACTAAAAATATTTAATGTGATAGGAACTTCCATTACTTCGGTTTGCCAAAATACAATTGATGTTTCAACAAAAGAAAAGATTGATTGATGTTATAGTTTGATAACTATATAAAATAAAGGGAGTTTTAGTTTTCACACACAATATAATTTACTATTTAGGTAAATAGGAATTCAATTTTCAACTAATTAGGATAAAGCCAAAAGCCAAAATATAATACCTACTTTTACTATAATATAATTAAAGGACATCAAAATTACAAAATATGCCAGTATGCCATTATTTTCAAATTTCAATATTTAATTTTAAACCAAAACTTACAGCTGTATATGGATAAGCAAAACGACATCACAACACCAAAAACTTAACCCGAAACGACATCTACTCAAATTGAACGCTAAGCCATTCGCGCGACCATTTGCCGTCACCTCGAGAAACCACCTTTCCACAGTTTCCTTAACACTATTCCCAAAAATCTCAAAGATGATCGTTCCACGCTAAACCATTCGCATCAACGATGACCACCAACGATCAAAGCCGATTCTCACTCTCTCGAAAAAAAACCGTAAGAAAATCAACACTCTAACACAAAATTGCCTTCGTTTTTAGGGATTACGGATTTTAGAGATTTTAGCTACTGTTTATTATGCATGCTCCCTTTGAAAAAATGGATGACTCTTTGGATTCACAAATACTCTTGGTTTAGGTTTTGCCTTCGTTTATAAGGATTAAGGATTTTAGAGATTTTACCTACTGTTCATTCTTCATTCTGCAATGTAGTTTAGGTTTTGGGTTTAGTTTTGGTTTCAAAACCTTTAAAAACCAAAAAATCACCAGCGAAAGAGAAAGAGCGTCAAATATATCTGGTTTAGTTTGTAGTTCTTGTTTTGACTTTGCTGATCTTTCCATTTCATGTTAAGTTGATGTATATTTTCTGTTATATTTTGTGTTTTGGATAGCTCCTATTATATTTCTATTATGTTTGATGTTTTGCGTTTTGGATTGCTCCCTTTAAAAGAGGAAGATCATCAAATATTTCTGTTTTCTGCATTGCAAAAAACGGAAACTGCAGTTTTCGTTAATGCAATGCAATGAACCACAAACTGCATTGCAGTTTCTATTTTCTATTTTCTACTCAACTATTTATACTTCTTTATTGTAGTTTATCTCTACTTGTCTAATAGTGTTTTCATCCCTTCTTGTTTCAGATCACAAATGGCACAAGAAATGTCACCACAAAAGAATGAAGCTCAAAACCAACGAAAGCTAAGAATCAAAACAATGGCTCAAAAGAGATAAACAAAGTCAAACTATGATAGGAAAGCAAAGCCCCCGGACTATGTCATGTTTCGGTGCAACGTCAATGCCTTCAACAACATCATTACATACGTTAAAGACAAGCTCAATGACAGGCAGAAGAAACTGCTCAAGAAAACGCATTTCTGGAACTTGATTGAGCTGTTTTACAACCAAAGAATTGACATGAAGAACATGAATAAGTCGGACCTCGACTTAGTAAAGCTGCTCAAGAAGTTTGATCCAGATACAAAGACCTTCAAATTCGGCACCAAATCATTCAAGATCACAGCTAATGCAGTGACTGAGATTCTAGGACTGCCAAACGAAGGAAAATCTGTCAAACTTGGCACTGATAGATACATTGATACCTTCAAAACAAGGCACTTTGGAGAAAAGTCAAAACCATCAAAAGGCATGGTAGAAGAAGAATTACAAAAGACAATTGCCTTGGCAAACCAACCAAAGAAAGAAAAGGCCAAGGCAAAGCAAAAGAAGAAAATGAACATAATGGATTCCGACTTATATGTGCACTTGGCATTGACACAAACCTTTATTAGCCTTGAAAATGCAAACAAAACAACAAACAAAAACATAAAACAACTTGTCTGCCGCGCAAATCTCACGGCCTGGAGTTCCGGGCCGAGGGGATGAGCGTTGACACGTGGTTTCCTGCTTTTGGGTGCGGTGCGGTTGTGCGCGGGCGTGCCAGCACGGTCTACCGTGCGTCGAGATGTTGATGAGTGTAGGATGGATAAGTGGTGCGCCTGTTTGAACTCGTCTTCTAATCAAACGATTGTAGCCGAGAGAGGAACTAGTCTCGGCTGTTAGGTTCACGGCCTGAACTACAAGGCCGTTGAGTGATGGTGTCGGTGGTGGGTTTTGGGCGGTGCTCCGGCGCGTCGCTCAGGGAGCGACGGTCGTATGATATATGGGGTGAGGGAACGAACAACAGAGATGGTGCTCCGGCGCCTTGAAAATCAAGGGTCGTATGATATATTGATGAATGAATTTTCCTTACAGTCTAACACTACTCCTAGGAAAGCAAGTAAAGATATTGAAAGTGCATTACAGGAAAAAATAAGTTGCTCCGTGGGAGGCTTTGGTTTGGTGTTTGAACCTGTTGAATGTAGCTCGAGGCTGAATTTACGCATAGTGGAGTCTGATTAGCGCAAGTGGGTGTCCAATCGACATTTGGGATCGTGAAGCATGGTGGTGTGACCCCATAAATCCTGGTGAATCTCGGCTGCCGCCCTAATCGTGGTTTCTGCGCAGCTGGCCATGGAGATGCATTTATTGCTCTGATAGCTGGTGACATAATCTCTCAAGCTGCAAGAATTCTTGGGAGAATGTCTACGTCTAATCACTCTGTCTTCTGTCGCCACAACCTGACTTCAGTCACTTCCCACCTTCCCTCATGCATTAAATGTTTATTTGTGGCTAGTGGGTTTGCTGCATTAAACAGGCGCTACTTCATTAAATGAAGCATGGGTCCCTGCTATCACGTGATGATCTGACTTTAATATTTCTGGCCGCGATTTTGCTTGGCCTCGGCCTCGGCCTGCCCTCGAGGCCGAGATGATCATGCCTTGGCATTTTTCTTTTGTCTTTAGGAACGCAAAGCACTTTGTTGAAACGCTGCGTTTCAGTTTTATGAGCAAGTGCCAGGGCCGAGAAAGGGGGCTCCTTCGGCCAGCTCATGGCCGTGATTTATTAGGCACAAACACAACTTAAATCAATAAATAACGTAGATGAGCAGTTGTAACATTCCCATAGACTTGCAAATATTAGTCTAAAATCGAATTATGAAACGAGAAACTGCACCTAGTCAAAAACTGCAACAAACGGAAACTGCAGTGCAGTTTATGAAAACAAATCTGCTCAAGTGTGAAAAGAAACCAAAAGGCAAAGCAATGATAAAAGTACTAAAACTAAGTTCAAAACACAATTAAGTCCATAAGCAGTTGTAACATTCCCATATACTAGTATGAATTATTCTGGAATCGAAATATGGAACAGGAAACTGCACTGCAGTTTCTGATAACAAACTGAAATAAATAGAAACTGTAGTGCAGTTTATGAGAAAACAAATCTGCTCAAGTGTGAAAAGAAACCAAAAGGCAAAGCCATGATAAAAGTACTAAAACTAAGTTCAAAACACAATTAAGTCCATAAGCAGTTGTAACATTCCCATAGACTAGTATGAATTATTCTGAAATCGAAATATGGAACAGGAAATTGCACTGCAGTTTCTGATAACAAACTGAAATAAATAGAAACTGTAGTGCAGTTTATGAGAAAATATATGCACAAATTTGAATAGAAACCAAAAGGAAAAGCCATGATCAAAGTACTAAAACTAAGTTCAAAACACATTTAAGTCTATAAGCAGTTGTAACATTCCCATAGACTTGCAATGTAGTTTATGAAATAAGAAACTGCATAAAAAACGGCAACAAACAGAAACGGCAATGCAGTTTATGACAGAAAATCAGAAAACTTCGAATAGAAACCAAAAGGAAAAGCCACGATCAAAGTACTAAAACTAAATTCCGAA